CCCTCCACCTCTACCCCCACCTCTATGCCCTCCACCTCTACCCCCACCTCTATGCCGCCCACTCCATGCCCCCCCCTCTATGCCCTCCACCTCTACCCCCACCTCTATGCCCCCCACCTCTACCCCCACCTCTATGCCCTCCACCTCTACCCCCCACTCTATGCCCTCCGCCCCAAGCATTTCTGGACCACTATGAATATGCAGTTTCTTTTCACTGGACCTGGAAGGAGTGCTCCTGGGCAGATGGCAGCGGGAACTGTTAGGAGCAGCAGCGCTCCGAGCCCGGAGACAGACAGGGGGAAGTAGCTGGCTTTAGTCAGGCAAGGACTCGGCAACAGTCTAGAAATTCTCTGGAGAAAGTAGGCATGTGGAGGGCACACATCTCCTACAGCAAGGGAAAGGAACGCAGGGGAGGCCCCTACCTTCTTGGGGGTGGTGTCCGTTGCCTTCGAGTGGATTTCGACTCCTAGTGGCTGGTGTATGCAGAGAACTGTTTCAGATGGTTCTCCAGCCTGGGGGCCTTCAGACGCCACGACAGTCTCCTGAGATGGCTTTGGCTGGGCTCAAACCACCAACCTTTGCGCTAACCAAGAAGCACTTTGTTTATTTTGCACCACCCAGGGACCTGTGTGAGAAATTTGAACATATTTACTAGCCCCTTGGCTCAGAGTCTAAGAGAGAATTTGAGAAAAGACAACACAATTTTCATTTTATGCTGACTCTTGGCTCAAAATTTCTTCTTTACCTTAAAGGCATTGTAGATCACAGTAAAAGCTTAGAAAGATGAAGTGTCTGCTTTCGTTTATTTCCAAAGATGTCTTGAGAGGCTGTGGGATAGATTCTGAGACAGGCCTCGGTGGAATGCTTTTGGAAAGGCTTTTGGAACTAACCCGTTGGAGTGTTTCATCTGCAGGAATGATTGCCCAGGAGGTGCAGGAGATCCTGCCCGGAGCCGTGAGGGAGGTTGGGGAGGTCACCTGTGGAAATGGAGAGAAGCTGGAGAACTTCCTCCTGGTGGATAAGGTAATTACTGAATAAAGACCTGCTGCTTTAGCAACACCCCACAGACGACCCTGGGCTGAATCACCTGACTGAGAAGTGGAACATTACAAAGAATCCTTCACTGCTGTGTGGAGTAAATCGGTAACCGTGATCCCCTGCTGGTCATACAAAGAAAGCGGGTAAAGGAGTAAGAATATGCAAAAATACAAATTAGAGTTCACTGAGTTCTCGATGGAAGACAACTGACCCCGGAAAGCCCACTTAAGGTGAATAATGCCTTTAAAACCGGGACCAACATTCATGATAATGTTACAAAGTTCTGGTTAGACTTTTATCTTATTACTGAATTAAAACTTAAGAAAATGTAAGTGATCACATGTAATGCTATTTAAGTTGTAATTTAAAAAATGTAACACTTCTTAGAATAATTAAGGATTAAGTGGAGGATTTTTTTTTTAAAGCATAATTCTTTGACTAAATTGCATGCTTGACTTTCATTACACTAACTTATAGTGGGTCAGGGTTTTTTTCCCCTCTTAAAGATCTTCACGGGTCTCCTCATTTTTCCCAAGGGCCTTTCTGGTTCTTTGATATCAAATCTTTCTCTCTTTCGACAGAATATCATCATGTTCGTAGGTTTTTAAAATTTTTTTCCCCCCTTCACTCATGAATGTAACTAACCCTGCCAGTTCCTCACTTGCGGATGTTGTGTGTGTGATTTCACTTACTTCTACAATGACGTGAAACACTGCATCTTTTGCAATATGTGCAAATTCCCCTAGCAGCTGGTTTGCCTTACTTTACATTATAATACTTGATGCAGGGTGGAGAGACTAAGTGGCATGGTATTTTGTGCTACGTGGGAAGAGATGATAGAGGGGAGATGAAACTTCACCAGGGTTTTATTAAGAGGTGGATTGTGATCTGGAAAGATGGCGGTGAGGCCGTACTCCACATTTCATTCTTTTTAAAAAATTATTTTATTGGGGGCTCGTACAATTCTTATCACAATCCATCCATACATCCATTGTGTCAAGCACATATGCACATTTGTTGCCCTCATCATTCTCAAAACATTTGCCTTCTACTTTAGCCCTTAATATCAGTTGCTCACTTTCTCCCTCCCTCCATCCTCCACCTCCCATCTTGAACCCTTCATAATTCATAAATTATTATAGTTTTGTCATAAGTTACACTGTCTGACGTCTCCCTCCGCCCTCTTCTCTGCTGTCCATCCCCCAGGGAGGAGGCAATACTTAGATTCTTGTCATTGGTTCCCCCCTTCTACCCCACATTCCCTTCACTCTCCAGGCATCGCCCCTCTCACCACTGGTCCTGAAGGAGTCATCTATCCTGGATTCCCTGTGTTTCTAGTTGCTGTCTGTACCAATGTACATCCTCTGGTCTAGCCAGATTTGTAAGGTAGAATTGGGATCATGATAGTGGGGGGGAGGAAGCATTTAAGAACTAGAGGAAAGTTGTATGTTTCATCATTGCTACACTGCACCCTGACTGGCTCGTCTCCTCCCCACAACCCTACTCCACATTTCTAACCAGCTTCCTGTTGGTCAGTGATCCTTATCCTTGAAGAAACCAGACAGTGCGTTTCCATAGCAGGCCCCTCCCCAGCCTTTCAACAGACACTTAGAAGAACCGTGTCTCAAAGGCCTGCTCAGCCCTGTGCTGGAAGAGCTGGTGCCTCAAGCTGCGTCTCTTCCTTTTGCGTTTTAGAAATGCATCCTTGTTAGGAGAGCTGCTTTAGTTTCTCTCTTAGACCTAAGCTACCAGTTCACAAGTGAGGAATATCATTTGAGACTTTTTTTTAATGAAATGACTGAAGTTTTCCAATCATTCTCTTAAAAATACATCGAGCCTGTATTCAGAGTTACTCATATCTCGAAGTCATTCTCACACATTTGCTTTTTCGTACGTTTTCTGGGGTGAGGAGAAAGGAGTGGAGTCATAGCCATCAGCCTGCAGACTGCCAAAGTGGGGGCTTTGGGGCTCCTCCCATCTGGAAGACTGGCACTTCCAGTCCACTCAAAGGTGCCTTAAAAGAAGTGCCTGGGGATCTACTTCCCCAAAATGAGCCCCAGTAGACTCTACGGAGTATGTCCCACTCCAATGCAGACAGGGTCATTGTGACTTGCAGTGGACTTAAAGACCATGGTCAGCCACGGAGTCTCTTCCTAGTCTCCAGTCAGGTTGAATGACGATTGGATGATTCAAACAGTTGTTCCAAGACTTTACCCTCTTCTCTCAGGAAGCTGCAACCTAAGTTTATTTCAAGGAAGGTGAGCCCAGAGCTCTGGAAAAGGAGGGGATGGGATTCCTGTTCCAGCCAGCCAGGTCCTTGCATCACCTGAGGAGAAAGCCGGGCCAAGGCAGCTTCCAGCTTATAAATAAGTAAAACCGACTGCTGTCCAGAATGGGAAAGTTGCGATTCGTTTAGTAACAGTACCGTGTTGTGATAGGATCTACAGAGGCATCACCAAGGCACACTCATTGAAAAATGGGTAACAGCAAAGACAGGTGACCATCTCCTCACTCCGATGACACAGGAGAAGCTGGAATTCTTCTCTGACCTGTTTCTGATGATCAGCTTTCATTGCTGGTTTAACCCTCCACATCAGGGGATATACCTCCTCTAAATTATAAGTACCATATATACTCACGTGGAAGTGGAGTTTTTCAGCACATTTTTAATGCAGTTTTTGTGGTAAAACTAGGTGCCTCAGCTGATATTCGGGTTGTCTTATACTTGAGTATATATGGTATTCCACCAAGAATCTTCTTCATTCTTTCTCCTTAAGAACACAAGGAAGGAAAACCTCATGTTTTCCTTTCTTTCGTTTTTAAATAAACAAAATGTACATGAAATCTCTTGCAATGTGGTGGTTTTGATTACCAAGCCCAGCAATGCTGGGCTATCGGGACATTGGCTAGGACGTCCCGGTCATGTCTTTGGCATGAGAGATTTCCCGGCACGTTAGCAAACACTGCCTCTGCCCTCAAACCCCTCTCATGTCTTCACTCCACTTTCTGTGAATGCTGCTTGGAGTCCTTCAGAAAGCAGCACGAGCTTGCAGGAAGCGCATCGAACAACGCAGCCAGAGATGCCCTACCTGGGGGATTTGGTCAGACTACCCAACTTCTCCTGACTTCAATTGCTTCGGCGGTCAAAGGGGACTGAGTAGCTAGAACACTCCAAGTGAGAGTTTAGTTAGAAAAAAATAAGACTCCAACCCTTAAAGGGCCTTGTCTCTTCTTAAAATGAAGACCAACCTCACCTTCCGGGATTACATGTGACCCCTGAGATCATCGCCTTGCTTACTTCTCAGGAATGACAGTGGATATCAGCATTATACTATCATACTTAGGAAATTCTTAGGTGAGAATTTCTTACTTTGGGATATAGTGAAAACAAAGATTTTGGAAAATAAAGTAATATGTTTGTCAAGATAAAAGACTGTTTAAGGACAGCTAGTCCCACGCTCTCCTTCCATACATGAGGACACCCGACTCCCCAAGCCCAGACCAAACCTGAGTTCTAATCATCTCCTTAGGCTACGCTACTTCTTGTCCTTCACACTTGGGTCACAGCAGAAAAAAGTATTTCTATGAGTATGTTCATGAGTGTTTTCTCCTTTGACCTTTGAGGGCTCCCCGTGGGCGCGTGCTTCCTTGATTTTCTTTATTTTGGACGTGTCACAATGACATGTCACTGGTGGGCAGAGGGGTGGGCTTCATTTGGTGGTGATTGGCTTCAGGCTCGCTTTTCTGGAGTTGTCTGGATCTTGAATTCTGTCTCGTGATAACTTTCAAGGGGTGCTTTGGAGCGTTTGCTTCAATGGGACCAATTGAAAAGTAAATTGGTGAACAACAAGCAAAGAGCCCTGGTGGTGTAGTGGTTATGCATTGGGCTGCTAACCTCAAGGCCAGCAGTTCAAAACCACCAGCCACTCCACAGGAGAAAGATGGAGCCTTCTACAGTCTCAGATGGAACCTTACAGTCTCAGAAACTCACAGGGGCAGTTCTACCCTGTCCTTTATGGTCACTCTGAGTGGGCATCGACTCAGTGGCAGTGAGAACAATGACAGAAGTTTAGCTGGAGTTACTAGCAGTGATCACATGGAGACATGGCCTCTCCACAGTTTTTCTCCAGTCTGCTGCCATCCACGTATCCCTTTTGAAGAGAGAATTTTGCCTAAGGCTATAATTCAAACTAGAAACATTTGTAAAAATGTTGAAATTCTGTTCTCCATGAATGCTAGACCAGTTCCACACCTACTTTACAACTTTATGCCAAAATCTTAAAAAGAGTGGCTTTGTTTTTTTCAGGCTGCTCACACAATCAACCAAAATTTCAGATGACTGATTGCAGGGCCAGGGAATTATTCACGGTGGCTCTTCTTGCCAAAGTTTCTAGCTCCCACCAAATGGCCTTCCCCTCAAAGGGTCTGGTAAGAAGCGGGGGAAGATGCTGATAGGATTCACCTGTGAGTACTTGTGAACATGGGTCTCTGGAGCGCCACTCGGCGTATAAAATACGTAAGCCCTCTGAGAACCAGGAGGAGGGATCTTGTGACCACGGGGAGCTCTGAGTGGAAAGGGTCCTCTTGGTCTGAGCTCCCTGAGCAGGGAACCTCCTGGATCGGAAGACAGCTATGACGTCAGAGAAGTGGCAGCTGCCTCAGGAGCCAGAGCACGGACCAGAGGCATGGACTTCCACCCCCAGAGCAAGTAAAGCGAGTGCTTGTGTGCAGGAGCTTGCCTTGCAGGGAAGGTGGGCTGGCTGCCCCTCCGAAGTAGAGTGGGGTGCCTTTGGGGTGAGGCTTACATCGGAGTGATATGTCCCGTTGGGCATTTATTAGCAGACCCGAGAGAGTTTTGTAACATCTCCTGCTACACAACCTGAGAATTTCTCACTGGTATCACTTCTTAGTAACTCTTTGATAAACTCTTTTATCACGAATTTAGTCTGTGAGTTCTGTGTAGCCATTACAAGGGATATTGACTC